ATGTAGTTGACATTTCATGTGTCTTATGTTGCTTCAGTATTATTCGTAGGTGAATTAACTTTGGGATTTTAGAAAACAAAAAATTAGTTGAGAAATGAATAAATATACTACCATTGACACGAGCAAGTTTAATTAATTACCTATCTTTACACATGCTTATTGTTATTTAAAAACATATTCCTTCTCCCTAGGACTGAATCACTTTAATCAGGTATATGGGAAGAACTCGTCATGCTTCTAGTTCCTAATAGCTCCACTTCTTTATTTTCTGCCAACCAACTTCCTGTTCTGTACCTTAGTCCCATACTAGAGTTCACCTTTTGCTTAATGTAGAATTAAGGCTGCTATCCTTATACAAGAGCCCTGGTGGTGCAATGACTAAGTGCTCCACTGCTAACCAAAAGGTTGGCAGTTCAAACCTAACCAGTGGCTCTGTGGGAGAAAGAACTAGCTGTTTCTGTAAAGATTACAGCCAAGAAAACTCTATGGGGCAGTTCTACTCTATCATATGGGGCTGCTATGAAATGCAATCCACTCGATGGCACCCAACAACAACACTCTTACTCCCCAAATTTGATACTAGTGTTTCTGTTGTTATTGCTATTGAACTGCTTTTTGTGCTTTGAATATTGTATTAAGAAAGGTTCTACATATCTATCGATTAATTATTAGAGAGTACTCTGAAACCATTCTGAAGAATACGTCCCAGCCCTCGGTTTTCTAGCTAACCATACTTTGGTATTTCCATAGGGTAATTATCACATTTTTCTCTATGGCAATGCTGTCTGTCTTATTTACCTGTCTGGTGGCCACTCAGATAAGCCTTGTCTCATAATATAACGTCTGTGAATTTACAATATTTCTGAACCATTACTTCTTCCACTGCTTCCTCTTTGTTTTTTTTGCAAGTGATATTTCTCTACCTTAAGGGAAAGCTTGTTGGGGAAAAATACTTCTAAGACTTACAAAATCCATTTTTAACAAATCTTTTTAACTCCTGTCTCAAGCATATGTAATTTATCATACAGCACAAATATGAAAATATATCTACCTCAAATATACACTAAAACATATAAACAAAGGATCCTCAAAGTACTACTTAGCTCAGACATTGGATTTTAGTTTCTCCATTTCATTGTAGTTCTGATATCAATGAGATAATATTTTAATGGCACGGTAGGTTTCTAGTTCAGGATCTTTGTAACCATCCATTCATATCAGTTCTAAGCCTCTTTCAGACTTACTCTGAGCAGACCCCTTGATTTTATCCCCATTATTGGGCTAAGTCCCTTCTGCTTCTGTCAAAAGCCTTGCTAAGACATATTCATAGGAGAAAAATAAGATTGGAAAACAAATGTAAACTTTGTACTCTTTGAAGCTCTTCAAGCTTTATCCCAGTATTAAACTTGAACATCAGAAAAGGCTGGTCTTTACAAAGTTACAATTTCATGTTGAAACCTTTTGGCTTTTTTCTTTTTAATGAAACTGCTTTCAAAGACAAGATCTATTATGTTGCTCTACACCCTTTGTATAAAGACCATTGTGACAAATACCTCTTAGAATTGAGGATTAGTGAAGAAGAAATTTTTAATGAATTGTGAAGTGTTCTTCTACTAGGCTGTGAGCGCTGTATAGCCTATTCTGTTTTTGAGTTTAGTTGGCTGTTCCAAGCCTAGTACAAAGCCTTGCCTTCAATTGCAATATCCTTTCTCAGGCAAGACTATTTTTAGAGTTAAAACCAAGTAGTATTTAAATGCAGGAGAAAAATGTGGCAATCTGCTTCTGTAAAAAGATTTACAGCCTTGGAAACCCTATGGGGCAGTTCTACTCTGCCCTGTAGAGTTGCTATGAGTCAGAACCAACTCGATGGCAATGGGTTTTTTATATTTAAATTTTTAAAAACTTTTTACTAGCAATTGTTGGTCTAACTCTGTCATCTGATTTTTTTTTTATAAGCTGCTTTAAATGAAATGTGTATATATAAAATAAAAATTATTTACGTATAATTTTTTGAGTCCCTTTGGTAATAATTTCTCAAATCTTGGCCTTTTCCCAAACGTATATACACATCTGTCTGTCTGCATTGCTCATGCACATAGGCTGTGCCTCTAACTTCCAGACAGCCGTTATAATGCTAGGAATGAGACACATACACTCACTGGCATCAACCATTCTGTGGGTGCTATGTTCATCTGTGATCAAGCCAGACACACGAGACACTTAACAGTATTGGCAAAGTGAAAGCCATTATTATCAATTCTAGAAAGCAGACCTTAAACAATAACGGCAGATTCCCAAAGGAGAACTGCTTACCCTTCCCCACATTACCCATGTACATTCTTATGTCGCTGGGCAGGTGGTTCAAGTCAGATGCTATGTTCACATCGCTGCTGCCTCTGGCTACCACCACACTGCTGGGGGCGGGGCAGGATCTGCACAGCTCCTAAGGCTTCTACTCTGCTGCTGGGCCTCGCTAGGCCTCGCTGTCAGCTGGAAGACCCCTGCACAGGATTTCCCGAGCCTCTGCCGCAGGGCTCTTCTAAGCTTCTGCTCTGGCTCTCGCCATGCTACCAGAGCCTGTGGGGCTTTCTTGCTGCCACACTACCTGAACTCCAGCTTCTGGGGTTGGGGGGGTCATGCAACCCTTGCATGGTGTTCACTCAGGCCCCTCTTGCCCTGCACAAGCGTTACAACTTTTTACCTCCACTGGCAAGCCTCCTGTCCAGAAGTGTTCAGCTCGCCCCTGCTATAGGAAGACCCCTGCATGAGCAAGTATTACAGCTCTTTCAGCAATGCTGGCAAGCTTCCAGCCTGAAGTTGTTCAGCTCTCACTCTGTGGGCCAAGTAGGCTCGCTCGCTCCACTGTCTCTTTCGCTGTCTTCAGCATTCGTTCTTTCTTCTGGGTCTAGGAGGTTCTCAGCACAGGGACCCTGGGTCCTTGGTCCAAAGGACATGCTCTGCTCCAGACTTGTCTTCTTGATGGTAGTGAGGTCCCCCTGAACCTCTGTGGGCATAGCTTTTTTAAGCCTAGCAGGCTGGCAAAATCAACCAATCCCCTTGTAGGCCATCATCACCTTATTTGCATAGCCTTAGTAAACTGTCTAATTCCTGCAAGGGTTTGACACATCTTATTTGCATAGTCTCAGTCAATCATTCTGCTGGGAGTTTCAAGACCATGGCTAGAAAGGCCATATGAAAGCAATTCACTGCACTGCACCAAATCTCTAGGGCATCATCCTTTTCCTGCCCACACCAGTCACCAAGGTTATACTGACCCTGTTCTTGAAGAGTATTAGGAAAATAGGCTAAATGAATACCTCATAGAAATCCCCTCATAATCTATGCATTTTGTAATCTGCTACAGTTAAGATTTTATGAAATATCCTATGTCAGAATATTAGTAAGCATACTAAAATGTATTTTTGATGTTTACAAGCTGAAACTTGGATTATATGGTGCTAAACAAAATTTATAATTTTTGTTTGAAGCATAAATGAGTAATGTCGGTAAAAAAAAATCCTAAATCATGTAATCAATATTATCAATATTTTCAGATTTATTAAATGATATGATTTATGTGGATAGCAATCAGTTTTCTGTTTAAATTTCCCTTATTTTAATTTCGTATTTAGAAAGTGGTGTCTATTATGGCTGATTATTCTTTAGATCACAATAGGCTTATACAAAGTGAAATTTTATGATTCAGGAAACTGAAATTAAATGGAGAAATTTGGGCATGTCAAATTCCAATTCTTCATTATTTGAATGTGATCAAAGTATGCCTTTTAAAAAGTGTTAAAAATGCATTAAGTTACTGACTTTGTCAATATCTTTTCAAGCTTCTGATTTTTTTCAATATATTTTCATTAGGGAAGGAATAATACATATAAGCTAGTATTCATTACTGCTTTCTGTTTTGCAACATTTCAAATAACATTTATTCTCCTTGAGTAACCAGAGGGCCTGTGATGCGAGTGCCCATCGTTATAAAGATGCTTACGATACTCAGTACTCCGCCTTCCTTATATCACCCTTAAAAGATGTCAATATGTTCTGGCACTGAGGAAGAATATCAAGTGTTCCACAGTTACTATCTTGATGCGCTTAAGGAATCCTATGTGATTTGACTTAGATCTGGGCTTCAGAAGAACTGCAAACTGAATCCAAATGGGGGAAGGTGCTCTGAATAGGGGCTAGCCAAAGATGGGGGCTTGCGTTGGATTCAATCAAAATTACCAGCATTCCAGAGAAAGCAACAGAGAGGAGGAGGAGGAGGAGGGAGTACCTGAGGAGGAGACAGAAGGAGAAGGAGGAGGAGGGGACGGAACGGGGAGGAGAAGAGAGCAGAGGGAGGAGGAGGCAGAGGGAGGAGGAGGAAACAGAAGGAGAAAGAGGAGGAGGAGGAAACAGAAGGAGAGAGACATTGAGGGGAAGGGCTAAGGAGTGGGATTTTGCAAGGAGAGGGAGACAAAACTTTGAATGGTTACATCTGGACTTTGAAAAAGTCCAAACTAAACCCGTTGCAGTTGAGTCGGACTCAAAGCAACCCTATAGGTATAGGGTAGAACTGCCCCATATAGTTTCCAAAAAGCAGCTGGTGGATTCAAACTGCTGACCTTTTTTGATTAGCAGCCAAACTCTTAACCACTGTGCAACCAGGGATTCTTTGGAAACCAGTTCAGATTCTACAGGTGTAGGACGGGTATTCTGAAAGGCTTGCTTTCAGAGGAGTGCCATTTTATGGTGCACAGAAACTCCAGTATTTATTGGAGTTAAAAAAAGAAAAAAACAACAACCAGTTTTGGCATAATGAGGAATATTAAATTCTTTCCTCATTTTAATCACCCTATTCAATTCTTGTGTATCACACAAAGACTGTTAATACTTCTCTTCCATAGTCACTGAATTCTTTTAATATGAAGAATATTCACCATGGAACTATTTGCATACTTGGTTAATAAGATTACGGAAAATAACCCATTTTTAATTTTTTTTTGCAGGTTTGAAACTTCCTAAGCACATTAATTATGGTCAGTTGAATGCATTATGCCACATTAGGGGACAACACAGGTAAGTAGTGCATGTATTTCCTTTTCTGTTGTTCAAATGAATGTGAATGTGTTTGTTTTATGGATAAAGCATAGTAATAAACCATTGTTGACTCTCATAGGTGCCCTGAGTTACCACACAGATAAAAACATTTGAAAACCTGGAAGTTATTTCTTCAGTTTGAAGGAACAGAATGTATATGTCATATTTTTAGGGAAACAATTTAATGTGAAGCAAACATAACTCATACTCTTTCTAGTACTTAAAAAGCAATCATAAGAGGAAAGAACTGTAAGTGGTTGGAAACACAAACCTTGAATGAAATAAGTACTTTAGCAGTGGATAGAGGATGCCTAGTTGAAATATGCTGGAGCCAAAGAACTAGGATATATCACTGTTCTAAGCTCTGGATTCCTAAGATATGTGATACTTGAAGATATAATTTAAAAAATCTATTTTCTTTCCAACTCTGTTTTCCAACTTGGATTTTTAAAATTATAAAACTGGTTATTTTCTTCCATATCCATCAGTGTCTATCCCCTCCCTCTTCCTTCACTCAGCAGAGGACCTTGCCTCATTTTTTATGGGCAAGTTCTGAGAAAATGTTGAGAAAATGCCTTAGGTTTACAGACTTTCTTTTTCTCCTTTAAAATATCTCTTAGTCACATTCTCTTAACCACTTCAGATTATTTCTATATCTTCATCTGTATCCTTCCCATTTCTTCGTTTCCAAAGACAGGCAGGCACACTTCTTTGCTACTCCTTGAATTTCCACCAAGAGGAATTTTTTTCTGTTCACCCCTGGACTTTTCCCTACTCCCAGTGCCTTTCAGCAAAGGACATTTTTTTCCAGTCATATTGTAATAAAAGGATGAAATTCATTATATGTACATATATGCATGCATATATGTATATATTTACGTATAGATATACACAGGCACACATAAAATTAGCTTAATTCATATCAAATTGAAACTGCCCCCTTATATGCAAGAGTAACATTCATATTTCTTTCAATTTTCATCAAATAAATGTGTAGATGCTACAATATTTATAAAACAAATTCGTGAGGAAACAATCTATAAAAGGTTGAACGGATTCAACTTTTATGACTTGTTTTAATTAATTTAAAGTAAAAATATAAATTGCCTCAGGAAAAACACATAAATACTACAATTAATCAATAAGTATTTTATTAAGAGCTTATTATGTTCCCTGACCTGTGAGCAGAACTGAGTGGGATGTAGAAGAAATATTGTATTAGTTTGGATAATTCTACCTGCTGTAAATAAACGTTAAATCTTAGTGGCTTAATACAATAGAAGTTTATTTATCCGTCCCTTCAATACCCAAAGGAGTATTTTTGATCAGCAGGCTGTTCTAGTTTAAGAATTCAGCCCCTTCCAAACTTTTGCTCTGCCAGCTTTATTACATGGCTTCCAAGACCACCATGCTCCTCTGCTTCAAGCTAGAAAGAGAAAGGACATGAAGAATCTTCTGTGGGCGAGGTAGTAGGGTATTTCCATGAGTACTGTATGAAGTTTGGTGCATATCTCTTCTACTCCCTATTCCATATTCCATAGGCTAGAACTCAGTCATATGATCACACTAACTGCAAGGGAGGTTGGGAAATGTAGTCTAGGTCCACATGAATAAGATACAGATTTGAGGGAGCATACAGCAGTCTTTGAGATAAGCATACAGTCACTGAATATTAGAACTGGAAATGCTCTTATTATTTAGACAGCCATTATTTTTGCAGATAAGGAAATGAGGCATATAAAATTTAAATAATCTGCCTAAGTTTATATAAAAATGAAGTAGTAAAGTTAGTACTTCAATCCATATCATCTTGACTCCAAGACTAGGGTTCTCTCATTTCTCATCCTACCAAACCAAAACTAAACCCATTGCTGTCTAGTCAATTCTGACTCATAGTGACCCTATAGGACAGAATAGAACTGCCCCACAGGGTTTCCAAGGAGTGACTTGTGGATTGAATTGCCAGATTTTTGGTTAGCAGCCGAGATCTTAACCACTGTGCCAGCAAGGCTCCATTTCTCATCATTGTTGTGTTACGTGCCATCGAGTCAGTTCCAACTCATAGTGACCCTATGTACAACAGAACAAAACACTGCCAGGTCCTGTGCCATCCTCACAATAGTTGTTATGCTTCAGACCGTTTTTGCAGCCACTGTGTCAATCCGTCTGGTTGAGGTTTTCCACTTTTTTGCTGACTCTGTACTTTACCAAGCATGATATCCTTCTCCAGGGACTGATCCCTCCTGATAACATGTCCAAAGTGTGTGAAACGAAGCCTTGCCATCCTTGCCTGTAAGAAGCATTCTGGCTATACTTCTTCCAAGACAGATTTGACAGATTGTTTTGGCAGTCCATGGTATATTCAATGTTCTTCACCAACACCATGATTCAAAGGCATCAGTTCTTCTCTGATCTTCCTTATTGCTTGTCCAGCTTTCTCATGCCTGTGAGGCTATTGAAAACACCATGGCTTGGGTCAGGCACACCTTAATCTTCAAGGTGACATCTTTGCTTTTTAACACTTTAAGAGGTCTTTTGTAGCAGATTTGCCCAATATAATGCATCGTTTGATTTCTTGACTGCTACTTTCATGGGCGTTAATTGTGGATCCAAATAAAATGAAATCTTGACAACTTCAATCTTTTCTCCATTTATCATGATGTTGCTTATTGGTTCACTTGTGAGGATTTTTGTTTCCTTTTTGTTGAGGTGTAATCCATAGTTAAGGCTGTAGTCTTTGATTTGCACCAGTAAGTGCTTCAAGTCTTCTTCACTTTCAGCAAGCAAGGTTGTGTCATCTGCATATTGCAGGTTGTTAATGAGTCTTCCTCCATATATATTCTAGCTTCTCAGATTATTTGCTCAGCATACAGATTGAATAAGTACAGTGAAAGGATACAACCCTGATGCACACCTTTCCTGACTTTAAACTACGCAGTATCCCCTTGTTCTGTTCGAATGACTGCTTCTTGATCTATGTACACTTTCCTCAGGAGCACAGTTAAGTGTTCTGGAATTCCCATTCTTCACACGTTATCCATAAGTTGTTATGATCCACAGTCAAATGCCTTTGCATAGTCAATAAGACACAGGTAAACATCTTTCTGGTATTCTCTGCTTTCAGCCAGGATCCATCTGACATCAGCAGTGATATCTCTCATTCCACATACCCTTCTGAATCCAGCTTGAATTTCTGGCAGTTCCGTGTTGATGTACTGCTGCAACCACTTTTGAATGATCTTCAGCAAAATTTTACTTGCATGTGATATTAATGATATTGTTCGATAATCTCTGCATTCTACTGGATCACCTTTCTCTGGAATAGGCATAAATGTGGATCTCTTCCAGTCGATTGACCAGTTAGCTGTCTTCCAAATTTCTTGGCATGGATGAGTGAGCACTTCCAGCGTTGCATCCATTTGTTGAAACATCTCAGTTGGTATTCCATCCATTCCTGGAGACTTGTTTTTCACCGATGCCTTCAGTGAAGCTTGGACCTCTTCCTTTTGTTCCAGATCATATGCTACCTCCTGATATGGTTGAACATCAACTAATTATTTTTGGTGTAGTGAGTGTATGTATCCCTTCCATCTTGTTTTGATGCTTCCTGTGTTGTTTAATGTTTTCCTCTTAGACACCTTCAATATTGCAACTTGAGGCTTGAATTTTTTCTTCTGTTCTTTCAGCTTGAGAGATGCCAAGTGTGTTCTTCCCTTTTAGTTTTCTAACTCCAGGTCTTTGCACATGCCATTATAATACTTTACTTTGTCTTCTGAAGCTGCCCTTTGAAATCTTCAGTTCAGCTCTTTTACTTCAGAATTTTTTCCGACTGCTTTAGCTACTCGATATTCAAGAACAAGTTTCACAGTCTCTTCTGACATCCATTTTGGTCTTTTCTTTCTTTCCTGTCTTTTTAATGACCTCTTGCTTTCTTCATGTATGAAGCCCTTGATGTCATTCCACAACTTGTCTGGTCTTCAGTCATTAGCGTTCAGTGTGACAAATCTATTCTTGAGATGGTCTCTAAATTCAGGTGGGATATACTTAAGGTTGCACTTTGGCTTTCATGAACTTGTTCTAATTTTCTTTAGCTTCAGCTTGAACTTGTATGTGAGCAATTGATGGTCTGTTCTGCAGTTGGCCCCTGGCCTTGTTCTGACTGATGATATTGAGCTTTTCCATCATCTCTTTCCACAGATGTAGTTGATTTGATTCCTGTGTATTCTATCTGGCAAGGTCCACATGTATAGTCACTGTTTATGTTGGCCAAAAGTATATGCAATGAAGAAGTCATTGGTCTTGCAAAATTCTATCATGTGATCTCTGGCATAGTTTCTATCACCAAGGCCATATTTCCTACTATCCCTCTTCTTTGTTTCCAACTTTGCATTCCAATCACCAGTAATTATCAATGCATCCTGATTGCATGTTTGATCAATTTCAGACTGCAGAAGTTGATAAAAATCTTCAATTTCTTCATCTATGGCCTTAGTGGTTGGTCCATAAATTTGAATAATATTTGTATTAATTGGTCTTCCTTGTAGGCATATGGATGTTATCCTATCACTGACAGCGTTATACTTTAGGATAGATCTTGAAATATTCTTTTTGATGATGAATGCAACTCCATTCCTCTTCAAGTTTTCATTTCCAGCATTGTAGACCATATGATTGTCTGATTCAAAATGGCCAATATCAGCCCATTTCAGCTCACTAATGCCTAGGATACTGATGTTTGTGTGTTCCATTTCATTTTTGACTATTTCCAATTTTCCTAGATTCGTGCTTTGTACATTCCACATTCTGATTATTAATGGATGTTTGCAGCTGTTTCTTCTCATTTTGAGTCATGCCAAATCAGCAAATGAAGGTCCCAAAAGCTTGACTCCATCCACAGCATTAAGGTCTACTCAGCTCTGAGGAGGCAGCTTTTCCTCCGTTGTCTACCTGAGGGGCTCAGCTTCTGGCACTATGTGAGACAATGTTCCGCTACTATTCATAAGATTTTCACTGGCTAATTCTTTTCAGAAGTAGACCATCAGGTTCTTCCTAGTCTGTCTTAGTCTGGAAGCTTAACTGAAACCTGTCTGCCATGGGTGACCCTGATGGTATTTGAATACTGGTGGCATAGCTTCCAGCATCACAGCAACATGTAAGTCCCCATAGTATGACAAACTGACAGATGCATATTTCTCAACATAGGATTACTTAATAAAGTGGCAACACGTGAGAAGCAGAAAACCCTGCTAAGCTAAGGTCATTAACTGGTGTTCTTCCTTTTGCCTTGGGGCATTAGACTTGCTTTAATTAAGTAGACTTGTTTTAATTAAGCCATACCACACTTAAATTTTTTCTTAATTTACTAACATTTAAAAATCAGAAATTTTCACACAGGAGTTCGGGTTTCTGGTTTCTTTAAAAATTGCAAAATCTGAACACATTAGACCTATATTAGTGTATGACAAAAATAAGCATAAGAACCGAGTTGTGGCTCCCTTTTTGTAGGCACACTCTCCAGTTCACCACAGTCCCCATCTGGCCTGTTTCACTCATGATACCTGCTTGGCCACTGTAAGCATTTGATTTTGTTATCCATGAATATAGAGCATTTTGAAAGTGCTCTAGAGTTCTGGTATGTAAAACTGGAGCTTTTCGATGTATCTCTGCTTCATCCACATGAGGAACTTAGAGCTCCTTCCTTGTTGAGTGAGCTTCTTTGCAGGTGAGCTTTAATGAGGTGCTGAGTTTCTCGTCCGTAGTTGGTGTTTACTCAGTTTGGGAAATAATCAGAAGTATCTTCTGGATAGTATTCAAATGTCAGATAGTTAGTTGGGTCACGACACCTACTCTCCAACCCTACTATAATTCTAAAATTTTTCCCTTGTCCCTGACTTTCTCATTATGTCTATTTTATGTCTTCCCTAACCCAGCTCTCTCATCCATATTTAGATGTGTTAATTTACGGATGATTTCATATGGCTGTAGACAATAATGCATTTAGACTGAACACACAACTGTATGTTTTTGTTTCAGCAAAGAACTCAGAAATAGGAATATCCTGCCACATTACATTGTTATGACATACATCATACAGCGTCTGGCCTGGGGTGCCATAGATTGCTTTTGTGTGGCCTTTCTAGCCATGATCTTGTAACTTCCACCCAAGTGATTGGGTGGGACTGTGCAGATATGGTAATTGTGGCCCACCAAAGGGACTGGTTAGTTTTGCCATCCTGCTGGGCTTGAAATAAGCCATCCTGGAGGTGGGAAGGAGAAGAATCCCACCACCACCAGGGAAGAACAGCCAGGAGTAGTTCATCCTTTGGACCTGGGATCCCTGCTCTGAGAAGCTCCTGGAAGCAGGAGACTGAGAGAGAGAGAAAGAGAGAGAGAGAGGGGGCTGTAACCCTGAAGACAGTGAGAAGCGGTGGCAGCAGAGATGCAGAAGCAGTAGACGGTGTGGTGGGCTTCCTGGCCCTTGGAGTGAGAAAGCTGAGTGCCTTTGGGCAGAGACTGAGGACCAGGGAGAGGTGTGCCTGCAAGCACGGCCGTGAAGAGGCTGCCCTGATGGAAGAACTGTATCCTTGAGTGTTCCTGAGCCTGAATTGTAACCTGTTACTTCCCTAATAAACCCCATAATCACAAGCATAGCCTGTGAGTTCTGTGTGGCCATTGCAATGAATTATCGAACTAAGCAGAGAAGTAGAGAGTGCCGCGGGTTGGACAGTTGGTGTCAGAATTGGTAAAGATGGTGGGGAAAGAAGGCATGTCTGACCCCCGCCTCACAGGAATCAGCCTTGGGCTATTGATCTTGATTCTCCTTTCCCTTTGTGAAGTTACAGGAGGTCAGGCACCTCCCCTAAGCTGTTTTTACAGCGTCATAGGGCACTTAGGGCTCATTCTGAAACATAATGCCATCTCTACCTCTAGCATTTGACTCTTCCATTTTGGCCTTTCACTTCTTAGATGCTCTATTTTGGAGACCCAGATCAAAAACACTGGGTCCATGTACATCAGCTACCACATCTGGAAAATTTCCAAGGATTAGATGAAGCAGACATATCAGTCATACACATAGAAAATGACAAGAATGAAGGTCTCAGTATTTTGGTATAAACTGTTTAGGAATTCCAGAGATGATTTATCCAGAGCACAGACTGGAATAAGGTTTAAAACCTGGTAGCACGGACTCCATGTAGACAAATTAAGGAGGCCACACTTTTGTACTTCTTTGGGCCTCAGTTTCTTCATATATAAGATGGGAAAGAGAGGAGTATTTACCTAATATAGTCGTGTATGGATTAAATGACCCAATACATGTGAACTGCCTAGAATAATGCTTGGCACATACTTGGGAGGCATTATATTCAAGAGTGACCAGTCCCTGGAGAGATACATTGTGCTTGGTAAAGTAGAGGGTTATCAAAAGAGAGGAAGACCCTCAATGACATAGACTGAAACAGCTGCAACGATGGACTCAAGCATAGCAATGACCATGAGAATGGTGCAGGACCAGGCAGTGTTTGGTTCTGTTGTGCATGGGGTTGTTATGAATTGGAAGTGACTCGACAGCACCTAATAACCATAACAGTGCATCTATATAGTGTGAGAATAAGAATGACGATGCCTAATATCATATTAAATCACATCCACATTACATTGTTTGAATAAATTAAATACAATCCTTAAAGTATATATTTGTCTTGTATAAAACATCAGCATGGTGTTTTAGGAACTTTGGCCAAGAGAAAAAAAAAAGCTGTTATAAATATTTTAAAATGTGTTATTGTTATGTAAATTAACAGCGGAATAAGAAAAGTCTTCTCTTGAGGCTTTGGATTTCTATACTTATTGTTGTGAGGCAAATATTGACTAAGATGTTTATCAGTGTTCAATTTGAAGTATGATTATTTTTGATAATTATCAAAATAAGCTGTCAAGATGAATGTTTAGCATTAAAAAAAAATGACCAACTTTTCATGGTGGTTGTCAATTGAAAATTGAATGAGACAGAATTTCCACAAACAAATGTCATTACCTGGCATTGAATGACAATTTTTTATATTCCAGTGGATATTGAGTATTGGCATTTTTTAAGGATGTACTATTTTTTATTGTTGTAAAAATATATATAAACACTGTTTGCCAATTCAGGATTTTTCAATTATACAATCTAGTGACATTAATCATGTTGTGCAATTGTCACCAATATCTGTTAGAGTATTAGCATTTTTTATATTTTCAGTGGATCTAAACCTGGCTGCAAATAAGAATGACCTAGAGGAAGATATTTAAAGTAGAGAAACCCAGGCTCCACGTTTGGAGATTATGCTTCAGTAAATCTAGAAAAGAATCAGAAATCTGTACTTATGAAAAGCATCTCATAAGATTCTTGTGATCTCCTGGGTTTGGAAACTGCTGATTTTTGGGCTAACACATCTCTATTCCAGACCTAAGAAATGACTCTTGAGATTTTTCCATAAATCGTTATAAAGATTCAGATAAATATCCTCTCCAGCAATGTATATGTAAACTATTTCATGAATCATTTTGGAGGCAATTTAATTATGAGGTATATTATAGAAGACCTTTACTTAATTATAGAAATAAGTGTTTTAAGAGGGCTCAGCCTAAAAAATTAGTTTTTTAACATTGCCATTGCCATAAATTTAGTGTTTCTTAAAATATTTCTCACCAAGACACACAATTTTTAAGGCACAAAATGTATATTTTTTCAAATTGTTGTGCTTTAAGTGAAAGTTTACAATTCAAGTTAGTCTCTCATACAAAAAATTTATACATACATTGTTATGTGACACTTGTTGCTTTCCCTATACTGTGACAGCGCACTCCTCCTTTCCACCCCGGATTTCCCATGTCCATTAAACCAGCTCCTGACCCTCTCTGGTTTCTCATCTCGCTTCTGGACAGGAGCCACCCATTTAGGTCTCATGATTCTACTTGCGCCAAGCACGTTTCAAGAGTATCATTTTATGTCCCATAGTCTAGTCTAATCTTTGTCTGAAGAGTTGGCCTTGGGTATAGTTTTAGTTTTGGGCTAACAGAGAGTCTAGGGGCCGTGTCTTCCAGGGTCCCTCCAGTCTCAATCAAACCATTAAGTCTGGTCTTTTTACTAGAATTTGAGTTCTGGACTCCACTTTTCTCCTGCTCCATCAGGGACTCTCTGTTGTGTTCCCTGTCAGGGTGGTCATTGGTGGTAGCCGGGCACCATCTAGTTCTTCTGGTCACAGACTGATAAAGTCTTTGGTTTATGTGGCACTTTCTGTCTCTTAGGCTAATACTTTCCTTGTGTCTATGGTGTTCTTCATTCTCCTTTACTCCAGGTGGGTTGGGACCAATTGATGCATCTTAGATGGCTGCTCACTAGCTTTTAAGACCCTAGATGTCACTCACCAACGTGTGATGCAGAACATTTTCTTAATAAACTTTGTTATGCCAATTGATCTAGATGTTCCCTGAAACCATGGTCCCCAGACCCCTGCCCCTGCTGCTCTGTCCCTCGAAGGGTTTGGTTGTATTCAGGAAACTTCTTAGCTTTGGTTTAGTCCAGTTGAAGACACAAAATATTTATGTTTCTTATTTTTCTCATTTGCTTCTTAGCCTAGATAAACACTATAGAATTAAGCTTTATATATTGAGTTAAAACTATTTCCCTTGGAATCTATTATTCCCGGATACTTATAATTTAATTTCCTCCTCTCTCTTTTTTTAAAGCACCAGTAGTTGCAGTATCCAAGCTTCTCACAATACCTTTTTGAAGCAATATCCTAAAATATTCCTGCACAAAAACCTCAGGATGCCTAAGCTTACCAAACTGGAGCCAAAAAGGTAATATGATGTCGTCTTTCGAAAGGAGGTTGATGTGTGTGTGTGTGTGTATGAAAGAACAAGTGGAATTCAAAAATGAAAAGCATTTGATCAATTCCCAGCACTCAGTGCAAGCGAGCTACCTGGGAACTGAATGGGGATTGGTAGGTAGAGGTAAATTCATTTTCTTATTGAGCAGTAATATCTGTCTACTGTTGCAGAGAGTATTTAATCAAATATTTTGTCAAACAGTTGTTAATGTTTTTGATAAATGTGGTGTCTATGAAAGGACTTAATTACTCTGTGGGGTTTCATGAGGAACTTTCTCATGGAAATAGTTTGTGGGTAGTGGATATTTGGAAGTGTGTTATGTAGTAAGGAATGAATGACAAAGAGGGCCACTGAAAGGCATTTGAGAAGTGGTTTTTACTGGGCTCCTGCTTCTAGGTGGACCTATATTTAAATGCATTTCATGTATTTTCAAAGCAAAGAATGAGACTACTTAAGTGTGTTGCAGGTAAGACTGCCTTTCCTGGACAGAATGGAAATGGGTTGTCTGATCATGATATGATGCTGCTTCTCTCTAATTTTCCCCAGCCCCAGTGGAACTGTAAGCTTCTTACATCAGTGTAGCATTAAATCCAAAAAGACATTTGGATATCATTCCCACAGTTTTTCCCTGGACATCTTATCATGGACATGCAACTCTCTCCCCCTACTACTCAAGTAGAAATGGTTTGATCATCTTCCCGACCATCCCACTGCCTTTCTCCCTGATTGTTCCTCTGTATAATTTCTATTGCCATACCTGTAAGATTGCATTTCGTTTGTACATTTACTAGCCTGTATTTGTATTTCCAATGCTTAGCAGATGGACTGACACATAACTGGGACTAAATAACCATGTTTTGCTCCATGGGAACTCTATTTGCAGGCTCTAGATAAGGGAGTTGATGAAGAATATGTTTTTATTTATTTACATCAGCAACATAAAGGTGAAAATCCAAATAAAATTATTATAAAAGATATATTCCCAGGGGTTGGAGGATATCAGCATGGGAACCACTGACCCATTTTCATTATTATAGAAACTCAATCACAGAACTCAATCATCTCAAGCCCTTCAAGCATTTTTGACTAAGTAAATGCTGCTGAAACTGTACCCATTTAATTACCATTCAATAGGGCTATGAAATGGTAGTCAGGCTTGACAAGAGCAACTAAACCCTGAACCCTAGGACATGTTACTAATCTCTGCAAAAATTCTCCATCTTGAGAGGAGATGGGTTTCAAAAGCTAGTAATTCAGGAATGAGGAAGACTGGGGAAACTCACCTAAGGGTATGCATTTTGAACATTTGTGGAGTTTGCCTGTCAGCACCATTTCCTTCTTATTTTGGTCCCAAGGCCCCAAACTCAGTTCATGTCCTTATTATGGAACTGTTCCTGACCCCACAACAAAAATGGTTATGTGCTTAGGGCCTGTTAACCAGAGTCACAGAGATTGGTTGAAGAATGGGCATGTAACCCAGAAATTATCCACAGCCACAGGGAGAGTGATGACATTGTTTGAATGGCTGGGTTCAGCCGTTCCTGAAGCTGGAGCTTCCACTGGACTGTTCAGTTACTTGAGCAACTAGATTTTTTTTTTCCCACTCAAGCCAGTGTCACTGAGTTTTCTGTCACTTGTAACCAAAGGAACCCTGAATGATACACGATTAAAAGGAATCTGTCATTTTTTAATTGGCTTAATGCTGTAAATTCATGAATAGATTAAAGATCAAAGAGGTAAAGCCTTCTTTCAGTTTAATTACAATTAATATATACCCTGTCTTGTTGATGGTAAAAAAGCTATCGCTTGGTTTCTATGCAGGTCCTCCAGTGGAATGTGATACACATATGTATACCCAGCTGGTGGGAATAGAGCTCAAGTACATCAGAGAATCTTTTAGCAGCATAAAAATGATGAGGAAACATGAATCCCAGCAGACTAAATACCTGCACTGATAAACTTATTCATCAACAACCTTTACCTATTGTTGTTGCCAGATTCAACACTATAATTTCCCTTAGTGCAAATATCATGTGATGGCTACAATAACAGGACTTTAAAGTATGTCACCTGCTGGGCTTCTGGCAGCTGATGAGAGTGGCTAATGCCAAGGCATTTGCTAAATATTGAAGGTGGACAGTCATATGCAAAGAGTAGAAGAAATGCTTCATATAACCATTATATCCATTTGTAGCCATTTCACGTTAGTGAAAATAATCAGAACTGGCTGAGACATTGGAAAACAATTCTACTTGAGCTATAATGTAAGAACAGGATAAGATTGAGATCAAGGACTGCTTAGAACTGCAATCGTTATCTAAAAGTAGATTTATTCATGAGTCAGCTAGGCAAGGTAAAATTTTGGTGTATTTACAGATGTAGGAAATCATATAGAGAGGCAGCTGTGTGTGTTTGTGTGTGTGTGTTTTAAGAGCACATTATTTTGACCCAGAAGACTTAGATTTGAGTATTTGTTTTGCTCAATAGCAGCAACATGACTTTGGAGAAGTCACTTAACCTCTACTGCCCTCATTTTTTCCCTGCAGAGGTATGCATTGAAAGAGATTTTTAATTATACTAGCTTTTATTATTATCTTGAACTATAAGGAGCAATGTTGTCCTATGTGGATTATGCTGTATGTCAAGAAATTTTATCTTTTTCAAACAGGTTAAATAAAATGCAAGCGATACATTATATAAAGTACCATTATAATTATTGGGGACTACAAATGAAATAATTTCTATATCTCAGTAAGTAGATGAAATTAACAATGCTGTGATTATCTGGCTATTATAAAATTTATTTATGATGATGTTGTGCGGTAAATGACATATCTGTTCCCAATAAAACTAATGATCATTCTTTTTAACAGTAACAAAAAACCTGGATTGTCATAGCCATCAGTATTTTGAGCAGCCTTAATGCATTAGGAAGAGACTGGTATAATCTCATTTATATTTATGTATATATAAGTATATTATATTTTTCCATTTAAATTCTATGTATAGAAGATATAATTATTATAAATGTACTGATCAGAACAAAATTCTAGTTTTTATATAAATAGCCTTTCTACTTTTAAACTATTCTGCAATGAGTTTAAAACTCTTTTCCTCAAAAAATGAGAACTTTACTATCTCTTCTTGTTTTTTAATGAACTGTAAGAGCCTTGGAAATACTGTAAAGCCAGATGGCTCCCTGAAGCTATATCTATTCAGGTGAAAAAATAATGTAGTTATAAAAGTGATTTTGGTAAATAGTTTACATTTTTGAAATGTAATTTTAAGTTTCTACATTTTTAAAATTCCCAAGTAAATGCTACAGATTTTTACCCGGAGTATGTAAACTACAGCTCAGTCTGTCTTTGCCTTTGAACATTTACTCAGATTTACACTATATACTTTCATAGTGCTCAGTATTATCATGAGAAATAATTTTCAAATATCAGGACCCTGGTTTAGGATTGCTGTGATTCAAATGTGTAGGGGTAAAAAAAAAAAAAAAAAAATCTGTTATCAAGAAATCTTTATTATGATTTTGTGTAAAATTGGACATTGTAACCAGTTTCCTGTATTTACATTCAATTACTTCTTTTATTAAGTAAAGTTTACCAGATCTGTACTATGTATCAAGTACTGCGCTGGTGGAAGGGATCCATAGGGTAAGATAATAGCCCTTGCTCCTGTAGAGGTTACAATCTGAGAAGGGCGAGAAGCCTTAAGCAATGATTATACTAATAATCACTCAAGCACAATTTATCTTTATCAATTCATCTTTCAGTTTTCATATTAGATCATTAATTAGTCCAGACTTGTGGGTGTAACAAATCTGATTCAAAGCAACAGCTCATCAAAAAAGAGAGCTTAATGGCTCCCCTAAGGAGTCCTGGTGGTACAGTTGTTAAGCCCTTGGCTGCTAACTGAAAGATGGGTAGTTCGAACCCACCAGCCACTCTGAGGACAAAGATGTGGCAGTCTGCTTCTGTAAAGATTACAGCTTCAGAAACCCTATGGGGCAGTCCTACTCTGTCCTGTAGGGTGGCTATAAGTTGGAATTGACTCGACAGCGATGGGATTGGATCTCCTAACCAACCAGAGGAAGGGTGAAGCTGGCCCTAGGAAGACTGGATACAGAATCAGGAACACTTGCAGGTCTCACTTTCATCCCTGCTTGTATTTGTAAGTTGTCTCTATTCTCTCCTGGTGCTCATGGGCTCCCTCAGTGTGTCAGGGAGTGCGGCAACCAAGCATTGGACTTGTAACAGCTCTGACACTAGAGACAAAAGGGAATTTTTTCCCACCATCCTCAGGCAGAATATTCCTGGAAAATGAAAGAAATTGGCTCATACTGGGCCACATATCAACCCCTCTGCCCAGTGGTGTAGAAATGATTAGCAGAAGGAGCAGGCTGGGGTATCTTTCACAAAGAAAATAGTCACTATAGATAATGACCGCCCTCCGGGGTACAAGATGAAATTAATACCTATTAACAGTAATTATAAAAACTGTTGCATTATTTGGTATAAAAAAATTAATATCCATCCTATGTTAAACAACAAAACCAAGGCTTATAATCAATATATTCTTGGGTCAGTGAGGAAACAAATAATAAGCGTCAACAGAATTGTGGAAACCTATGTTAAAATGTATTTATTCAAAATATGACATGTTCGGGACTTAGAAATTTGAGTATTTGTAAGCAAGCCTGTATGCTTGTTATTTTCTTATTTGACTTTGATAAAAATATTAGTTTTTGACCATTTTAATTCCAGAAAAGAGTAGCCAACATAAAAAAAGTAAATGAGTTTTAAAATAATCAAGTTAACTTTAAGAACGTATTTGTGTTAAATTCAGAAGCAGGTGTCTTCTTCTAGCTGGCAGACATTAAGCAAGATGTGGTTAGCAATGAGGGGAATTTTACTGAAAGGAGGGTGTAGGCCAAAAACAATAGTAGCAGAAGCTAAAGGGGA